GGAAAGCTGAGAGAGCTGATGGAGGACTTGGCATGGTAGACGCTTTCAGGAGGGTGCATGGTGCAAGGCCCGGGTATACGTGGTCGGACAAGAGCTGGGGAATGCAGTCGCGGATAGATTTTATCTTCGCCTCTGCCAAAGTAGAAGTGGAAAGTGCGGGGATGGAGCCATTCCCCCTCTCGGACCACAAAATGGTCGTGGCAGGGCTCGCGATCCCAGGTGGGGCGAGGAGAGGGAAAGGGGTATGGAAAATGAATGTGGGTCTGTTGGAGGACCAGAAAGTGGTGGGGGACTTCGTACAAAAATACAAAAGCTGGAGGACCTTGCAGGACTGGTTCCCCACGAGGGTGGAATGGTGGGGCCAGATAAAGGGCAGGATAAAAACGCTCTTCCAGCACCATAGTAGGAGGAGGGGAGTGGGTAGGGAATTGAAGCAGTGGAACGCCAGTATGGAGAAAATGTACAGGCTGCTAGAGCTAGGGTTCCCGATGGGGGAAAGGATAGAGGAGTTGAAAGGGAGGATAGCCTCAGTATTGGAAAGAAGGGCTAGGCAGTTATTGTACAGGGTGAGGGTCAGGGCAACGGAGGAAGGGGAGAGGTGCACGAGGTTTTTCTTCAAAGCAGGTAGGGAGGGAGATAACGCAATGAGGGAATTGGTAAGCCCTACCAGAAGTAGGCAGACGACGACGGTAGGGATGATGAGCGTAGCGGAGGATTTCTATAGGGAGTTGTACGGGAGGAAGGGGACAGATGGGGGGAAGCGGGAGGAGCTGCTGGGGGCATTGGGGAAGAGGATTGGGAACCCGGAGGTGCGGGGGGAAAAGATTCGGCAGGGAGAAGTGGAAGAGGCGGTAAAGGGGTTGAACAGGAATAGAACCCCAGGCCCGGATGGTATCCCAGCAGATTTCTACGTCAAGTTCTGGGAGCTCCTGAAAGAAGACATGCTGCAAATTTGTAGGAAAACTTTAGAGGAGGGCCGGGTGCCAGATGATATATTTATAAAGGGAAGGGGGATCGCAAGGACTTGGTAAGCTGGCGGCCGATAACTCTCCTAAACGCGGATTACAAGATTTTGGCAAGGATAGTCGCGGCGCGATTAGGGAAGGTGGTGGGGGAGGTGGTAGGGCCGGATCAGACGTGCGCGGTCCCGGGAAGGAGGATCGCAGACTCCCTGATGGTGCTGAGGGAGGCAATAGAAGGGGAAAGAGAGAGGGGGTGCCCGCTGGGGATTCTGAGCTTGGATTTGGACAAGGCTTTTGACCGTCTTTCACATGAATATATGCTGGCGGTGATGACAAGGATGGAAATGAGTGGGTCCCTGGTGGAGTGGGTGGCACGGCTCTATGGTAGACTCAGGGCTAGACTTTTGATAAACGGGGAACGTTCGGGGGTAATTCAAGTAGGGTCCGGGGTACGGCAGGGATGCCCGATGTCCCCGGTCTTATTCGTTATGAGTATGGAGCCTCTAGCGCAGGTAATAAGAGATGAACAAAGGATTAGGGGGGTGACAATACCGAGAAACTAGGAGCAAGGAAAAGTGACCTTGTATATAGACGATGTGGCCGTGCTGTGCAGGGACGTTGCGTCGGTGTGGAGAGCAATGGAGGCTACAGGGCGGTTCTGCGCGGCCTCCGGCTTGAAGGTCAACGCGAGAAAGAGCGAACTGATGGCCTTTGGGGACTCGAGGTTGTTCGAGGGTCGGCCGCCGGAACTGAGGCTGCAGACGGAAGAGATCACGGTGCTAGGGGTGACCTTCTGTAGGGATAGGTCGGGGGAACATAACTGGGAGAAGAGGATAAGGAAGGTGAAGGGTCGTCTGGGTAAGTGGGCAGAGAGGCGGCTCACGATGGCGGGCAGGATCATGGTGGTGAAGGTGGAGATGCTGCCAACTTTAAGCTACCTGGCGCAGGTATTCCCATCTGGTAAGAGGGAGGTCAAGGCTTTGACATCGGCGCTTTTCGGGTTTATCTGGGGGGGAGGGATGGAGAGGGTGAGGAGGGCCATACTGTATATGCAGGTTGGGAACGGGGGGAGGGGCGCCCCAAATGTGGAGCACACCCTGAACTCGACCTTTGTATGTAACGTGCTGAGACTGTTCTTCTCCGCAGAGCCGCGGGGCAAGGCGGCATGTTACATGAGGTATCGCCTGACGTGGCGCCTGCGGGGCCTCGGGATGACCCAGGCAGAGAAGAGCATACCCTTGGACTGGCCGGGGGGCTGGATCAGTGACGTGGTGGTGGACTACATTGGGCAGCACGGCCTGAACCGGTGGGGGGGCCGGTGGACCCCCAGAGAGGTGCGGACCGAGGCGGAGAAAGGGGAGGCCTGTGATGAGGTGCCAGGTGCGAGGAGGGAGGTGCACCAGCAAATTTGGAGAAACATGTCGTCGGCGGCACTCACAAAGGAACAGAGGGATTTGTCATGGCTGGCGGTCCGGGACAAACTGGGGACGAGGGGTATTATGTACACCCGCCAAATGGCACACCCCCAAGTGCCCGAGGGGCTGCAACGGGGACGAAAGCGCAGTACACGTGATGGTGGCATGCCCCTTTGCCCAGGAGGTGTGGAGGCGGAGCAAGCCGTTGTTGGCCCAGTTCACACTGTCGAGGGTGACAACATGGGACGTTGTGTGGGGGGAACTGCGGGGTGTGGGAAGGGAGGACAGGGCCTGGGCGTGGGCCATAATAGGAGCAACAAAGGAGGCCTTGTGGAAGGCGCGCAAGAAGGAGCTGGAGGCGTCCCAGATGTCCCCATTGGAAGCATGCTACATGGCAAGGAGGTTGTTGTAGAGGGTGATGGAGGTGGACCGGGTGAGGCTGAGACACGAAGTCACAAGGGAAAAGTGGAAGTGGCCGCTACCCAGGGTGGGTTAGGGCGGCCAGGGATGGGGGGGGGGGCGGGCCTTTACTGGCGCCCGGGGGGAGAGGGCGCGCGTGGCTAGAGGGGAGGCAGCCCTTCCATGCACAGATGTGGCAAGTGCTGTGTCGGGGGCGACTCCGGTCCTGCGGATGGGTCGGTGGCCGAGTGGGGCCTTCGCGGTGCGAGGGAGGGGGCGGCCCCTCGATCTTTGCTTTGTTTTGTTTCTCCGCTGTGACACTGAATAAAATTTAAAAAATCGTAATTACCAGCGAAACGTCGTACTCAAATTTAAAACGATGTTGATTCACTCTTCAACACACCGGTGGGCTAAAGTAGTGACCTATTTGTCCTTTGTAAACGTGACACATTTTTTACTGTTTGGCCGTGTCGGGTGGTGGAGGGTTACGACACATTTATAAATAACGCGAACTAACCCAAAAACCTTTATTATGAATAATATTGGTCGCGAAAGCCTACGTGTTAAACTATTTTTTTGTGTTTCTCCCTTGTGATGGGACTTTGTAGGATGAACGATGAGATTTATAAGGGCACGGGGTGACCAATAAGGTCTGAATTGGTCTGCAATAAGGTGGGCACTAAGGGGTTGACAGGTATGTGGATCAATCTTACGAGTTATACTGCCTCTCCAATACAGATGGATGGGCGGACGGACTCGGCTAATGCATTAATGCTGTCAGCCTCAGTTGGAAAGTGTTAAAATTGTATAAAATGCGATATAATTCATAATAGAGGGGTTTTTGGGTTAGATCGCATAAATATAAACGTGTATTGTTAAACCCGCCACCACCCGCCACAGCCAATTAGTAAGGTTTGTCAAGTAAACAAAACATGCCAGCTCATTACTAGTACAGCACACCGGTGTGTTGGAGAGTAAATCCACAACATTTACAATTCGAGTACGAATTTTCTGTCACCTGATGATGCTGGTGGTGATTACTGGCAAAACTTCATACTCGAATTGTAAATGTGGTGGGTTTCACTCTCCAACACATCGGTGTGCTGTACCAGTGCCGAATTGGCATGTTCTGTTCACGTGACAAACCTTACTAATTGGCTGTGTCGGGTGGTGGTGGGTTTAATGACACAACATTTATATATTTACGCGATCTAACCCCAAAAAAACCTCTATTATGGATAATATTGGTCGCGAAAGCCTACTGCGTGTTAAACTGCTATAGAGTTATCCAATTATCTTAAGATTGAGTATACATGTACTCCGTAGAGTTACATTGTGACTCCAAATGTATGCAGCCTTAATCTCTTTTATAATAATTCGATTGATCGTCTCTCTGTGACGTAGAGGGTAGACGTCACGCGAGATTGGGGTGAAGTGGTGAGGAGAGGGGGTGATGATGGGATGGTGAAGTGGAATTATCAGTCTCTGGACAGATTCGCCATCCCTTTACCGCGCGAAGTTCCGCGGATTCCTGCTAGTCTTGTTCTAATCTGATTTGAAATTATCTTATCTTATAATACAGCACTAAAAAAACATACACACGCCCAAAGGGGGGTCTGTGAAACATTACTACTAGCCTTGTAATGATAACATTTAAATATAATTAGCTTAGAATGCAGCAGTTATATAACATACACACACACAAAAGGGATGTGTGACAATATACTGTATTCCTGCTAGTCTTGTTATACCTGAATATAATTGAAGAACTCTTAGTTTCGGGGGCGTCCATAAATGACGTCACGCACCTGGGGGGGGGGGGGGGTCAGACATTTGTGACGATGTGTGACGAGGGGGAGGGGGGTTGAGAAAATGTACGTCACATAAAAATGCGCAACTTGAAATAAATATAGACAACACGTTCTACTTAATTAAATATACTTTTTGATAAATGTTTTCTCCTACAGCATCAGAGTGCAGCGCCACATTAAATACGCACTACAATGACAATAGTTTAAAGCGATTTGAAGCATGTTTTATTTTAAAGAAAATATGGTTAGGGGGGGCAGAGCGTCATATTTGCTGGGGGGTCTGATTTTTTGTGACGCCGTGTGACGAGGGGGGAGGGGGGTCAAAAATCGCGTGACGTCATTTATGGACGGCTACCTTAGAATACAGCACTGTAAAACGTACAACACACACAAAAGGGTGTGCGAAATATATTACTGCTCGCCTTGTAATCATGATTTAAATGCCCTTAACTTAGAATACAGCACTCATAAAACGTACACACACGCAAAAGGGACGTGACAATAAATGTATTGCTCGCCTTGTGAAGCTCGAATATCATTTCACTGCTCTTAGTTTAGAATACAGCATTCCAAAACGCACAATGCATGCAACAGGGGTGTGTGAAAATAACTTTAATATTTCCTTCTGCCGCGCAACGCCTGTCCAGTTTTGCACAGGGACTCAAACACAGATGGTGGTGTTGCGGAAACACCACAACCTCCCTCTCCCAACCTCCACCCTCCACACCCCCATCATCATCATCCTCGAAGTTGTCATTCACTTCTCCTTCGACATTTAAGTTCCGTCTCGAAGTAGTCGTTGCTATCCGCCGTCGCCGCTGCTGTTTGTACAAGGTAAGCGCATTCTTGATTAAGCAGGGTCACGCCGAAGTGGCTATGAAGAGCGAGGTTTTTTTTGGGACTTGCCAATGTTTGCCCGCGTTCAACAGCGGTTGGGTTGCCACCTCTATTGGAAGTAACTACGAATCGGGACATAGCGTGTGAATAACGTAATCTCAGAATTCCGACAAAAAAGGGGGGTGGGGTGGTAGGACTACTGCGTGTCAATGCATCGTCTCGAGCTAAGTGCATTGCCATGCAATGCAACTGCGATTAACTCAAACTTGTAACGTGCCGGAAACACAGATGTGCCGGTGACGACCACCTTAAAGAGGGGGCATCCCTTGGAAAGCCAGCACAGGTGACAACCCTTGAACCTGGTGAGTTTAAATATTTGTGTTGACATTCGCCCCCAACCACCACCATTATCTCTACTGGGGCGAGCGATCACCGCCGCAATAGATGCTGGGTTTTTCATTTATTTCTGGCACCCTACATCTTCTTTCGTATGTGCACGTAGGCAACACTTTTGTCGTGATAGACGTCGTCATAGTTGAACGTTAAGGTCCTTCAACCAATCGGCGGCGGCGGTGGACGCTGTCGCGACTGCAGCGAAACCGCCGTGGTTGTGCGCGGTGCGCGGTGCACGCCTCCGTCGGTGGGGCACCTGGTGGTTTGGGGGCTTCGCCACGGTCGCGGATTGGCGAATCCTTTTATTTAACATTCGTGGAACGACGGTTCAGCGTGGGGGTCCACAGCTGGCGTGAGTGGGCGAGAGAGAGAGACAGAATCCCGCCACTTCCACGGTTGGAACCCAAAGATATATTTTTTTGGTTTGCCACCTTCGTACGAGAGGCGCGTATTCAGAAAGTCTTCCTGAATTTAAGTCTGTCGGGAGCGCGGGGAGGAGGGGGGGGTCAATGCAGGGTGTACAAGTCCACCACCCCCCCTGTAGGATGAAAGTCTTGTCGACATCATCGCAGGATAAGAATGGTCATCGTCAGTGCGAATTGGCGATCGCGGTAGCTCCGGAGATGGACGTACAATACTGTAACAGCAAATTGATTATCAAGTCTCTCCGTATGCGATTATTTAAGTGCTCATCCGTCCTGCTCTGCGTCGTGGGGGGTTTGCCCGGTTTTTCTGAGTTTTCTCTCGCAAAGAGCCAACCGCTCGTTATTGCGAGTGGCCAATCTTCCCGATGGAGGACGCGAGACTCGGTGTACGTTGTTATGTATGTTTAACTTCTTTCGCACCGTACGTATCCAACCGTGCTCATCGACAAACTAAACATAACAAGCATTTCTAAAGAAATCCGTTTTCAATGTAGCATAGTGATGTAGTGTATAGTATTGGGAGTGTGGTGTAGTGTACGGTAGTTTGTTTGTATGTATGTAGAACTTCTTTCGCACCGTACGTAGCCAATCGTGCTCATCAACAAACTAAACATAACAAGCATTTATAAAGAAAGTCGTTTTCAATTTAGCATAGTGATGTAGTGTATAGTATTGGAGTGTGGTGTAGTGTACGGTAATTTGTATGTATGTAGAACTTCTTTCGCACCGTACGTAGCCAACCGTGCTCATCAACAAACTAAACATAAGCATTTATAAAGAAATTCGTTTTCAATTTAGCATAGTGATGTAGTGTATAGTATTGGAGTGTGGTGTAGTGTACGGTAGTTTGTATGTAGAACTTCTTTCGCACCATACGTAGCCAACCGTGCTCATCAGAAGTGCTGGGGTAAGGACAACAAACTCAACACAACAGGCAGCTCTAAATAAACGAATTTTCAATGTAGATTTAAAAGTGCGTCGCTCCAGTGGTTTCCTAGTATCGGAAGGAAGAGCGTTCCAGACGGCCGCAGAAGCGCATTCGAAAGCGCGCGATGCGCACACCGTCTTTGTTCGATGGTTTAGCCAAAAGCTGGTGCTGCTGCGAGGATGGACTGCAGTTTGCGTGATGGTTTATGCTTCTGGACGATATCAGCGAGGTGTTGTGGTGAACTCCCTGAGATGGTGAATGATGTTTTAATTAATTATTATTCATTCAATCGTTTTCATATTTACGTCCTTTGTTATTATGTTTGCATCGTGAAACGTGGTATATGTGTATACTGTTAGGTTAGGAGTGGAGTTGTGATTACTTTGTCTGAGACACAATTTTGAAAATGTGCTAACAAACATCTTAATCGGAATATTTTTAAAATTGACAATTCCTATTTTCACCCCACCCCCTCCCTTACTTGACATGACATTGCTGAAAAACAGTCTTGAGACTGGGTGAGGTTTCCCTGCGTGAACAGGCAATTTTTTGTAATTAATATTAATTATTAAAAAGTACATACAGTATCTCAAATGAAGGCGACGTCATGCATTCAATGCCTCCTCACACGCTATCTGTTGTGGAGGGATTATGTGGCCAGGGATTGTTTGGCCAGGGATTTTTTGGCCAAGTTTGTGTTTTGCATTTTTTGCCACAAGAACGTGCGGTTAAATGCAGACTTGATGCCTCGCAATAAGCTGTCTATTTGGTGTTTGAATATCTTGACACCTGTGTTGTTGCCGGAGTTTAGGGTAAAGCCTATTCTTATTTTTCCCATTATTTTGATAGTGGCAAAAAGGTCCCATAGATATGGGGGGATTGTTTGACCATACTTCACCACGCTGGTGAGCGTGATTTGGTGTAAGTCAGCGCTCGTCACTAATTTTCAGAGGGGTGGGCACTGCTGCCCGATAAGACATCAGTGAAAGTGAGCTTATACAGCTCAGTGTGCCTTACCTGGTAAAATATATGGGACTATCGTTTTTAATGGATAAAGACAGGATAATACACTGTAACATGATAACAAATTTATGTTAATAGCTTCAACTCGAAGTTAATGTTACCGAGGGAAGGAAACAATCGATCCTTGGTCAAAGATTGCATATAGTTTAGCTCAGTGTGAGGACCGCCACACCATTTGAAATCACTGGGGGGTTGACAGAAGCACGATGATGATGATGGGGGGTGTTTTCATATTTTGTGTATTGTCGATTGGGGCCGTACTAAAGGTCACCAGGGGCCCACCAGTTGCCCGCGGATGGCCTTGCAGTGAAGATGAACACTTCCGCAAGCCCATTTTATCAGCTCTCACTCACTGTGCAACATCCTGGGTAGCATAGGCAGGGGAGCGTTTGCGAAGGGAAGCAGGCAGAGGAAGACCGGGAGAGGAGACAGAGCGGCCATCACGCGATTTCAACTTTCGCGGTCTCACGATCCAGGCCATGCTTCCCTGCAGTGCAGGGAAGTCCAGATGTCTTGTGACCCCCCCCCCCCCCCCCCAAATTAATGGATCCCTAACATTTGTGTTTTTTTTTACCTTTGCTTATTTATTTCTGTTTTCATACCCATTTGGAATACAAAAATATTTTTTAGAGAATGAAATGGGGGTCACAAGACATCTGGACCAATCCTTGTACTGTACTTCGTGTCGGGGTCGTCGCGTACTATGGCCGCGAATATCTAAAATGTCTAAATATCGAGTCGCACAACAATAAATCATATTCTTAGTTTTTTCGGTAAAGTCACGTTGAAGGGAAACAACAAAATAATAAAATATATATAAAACAATAAAAAATAAAAACAATAAAAAACAATATATTCAACGTGACTTTACCGAAAAAACTAAGAATATGAATTACTGCAGTCACGAAAGCTTTAAATCAAAACAATAAATCAGTTGCGAATATGTAAACCCGCCGATGTGGGAACCCCCCACGATGGAGTTGGCTGCACATAACCCCCCTGCTGCCCGCAATGTTGCCTAGCCCCGGAAGCAGCCTGTGGCAACCTGGCATGCACGGTGGTTACCCATCCAAGCGCTGTCTCGTCTCAACGCTGTGGTTATAGCTTCTGGGGTTTCACCACACTGGTCAGTGCAGGTTTGGTCAAGGTGGCAGGCATATATTCGGTGGGAGCATAGAAGCGCAGTACAACGATGCATTTCCTCAGCACTGCCCTCTGCTGCACGCAAACAATCCGGCTGCAATTTTTGCTGCAACTGTGCCCCGTTGTGGTGATATATAATGCACCCGCACGTTATTTCGGTCATTGCCTGAAGAAAAATAGCAAGTGGGAAAATCATTGTACTCTTGTGCAGCCCTACAGCGGCGTTCTTAGGCAACAGGTCTGTAAAAAAATAGGCAGTTACGATGTTTTTACGCTTCAATTAAAACATCTTATAAACCACCTTAAAACTGAACTACCTCCCTCTGTGAGGTGCATTCTTCTTGATTACGTTTTGAGGAATTTCAATTTTTTTTATTAACGTGTTATCTACCAAATCCTTTGCTTTATTTTAGTTGCCTCGATATTATTAATCACGTGATGATCCAACGTCAAGTTTCACGATATGACGATTATCGCTAGACGAATTTCCCACGACTTTGTAATTTACATTTCACTTTTATATGATTTGTGCATTGCTGTACTTTCAGTTCGAATAATGATCCACTTAAAAGTTATCCAAATGCAACTGACTCAACATAAGCCTGCCACAGGCCTTGGCATCGTTGTACGATACAATCCATAATGCCCATAACTACATGTGCTGTCCGTCGCATCGTGCCATAAGGGGCCAGTATATGGTTTATGTTTTAAGACACGTTTAATTATTGGGAACACGTCTGATTGGGCTATGAAATGTACAGACTAGCCGCCAATACAAGTGCAATTACGACTTGACACACTTCTCTTGAGATGACACTTTATTGAAGACACGTTCACTTGACATCAGGCGGAGACCCCACTGCAACAGCCCCGAGTCTCCCGTGCATCTCCCTTATATATCAACACGAGACCACGCCCCCCTTCTCGATCATTCTCGCTGACTCTGGACCCTCGATCTAGCGGCAGACTCCACCGTCCTCTTCCATCACCTGACCACGCTCCCCTTCTCAATCATTCCCGTAGCCACCAGTCCCTTCGCACTCACAACTGATACCCCTGTCATTACCTCCTGTGGCCACTAGTGC